TGAGTGATGCCCGTTTTCACTAAACTTAGGAGTCGCCTAAATATGTAGGCTTCATATTTAGTTATCGCCTACGGCATGCATTTCACCAGTAACTAGGAATCATCTAACGACATTATGTAACGTCTAGTTATGACATGCTTTGTGTGGTGTCTAGCGCTAGGCATTTGCGTAATATGACTGATCAAAAATGGGTCAAAGGATAAATTAATAAATGTTTATTAGGCGATTCGTAAGATTAGGCGTTTCCTAGCTAAGCTATGCCATGTTCTGGGTTAACGAAAACACGTGTTAGGGACTTTTCGCTTGTATATATCTACGGCAGTGGTTTCTAAACATTACATGGTGTTTAATTATTTATGTGCTATTTGGATAATTGTTTTTTTTTATAAGGTTGCTTTTTTAAATTAATCCTTTTTATATCGGTAACTTGTTTCCAACTTGTCACTGAGTATAATGTGGTTATTTCCAGTTTATCATAAAAGGAAACAAGACTTTAGAATATTCAAAAGATCCGTGAGAACTCGTTATTATAAACAGGTTCGATTGTCTTTAGAGTACGTTATTGTAATAAAATTAATTAAAAGGCTTGTTAATGAGAATAGCTTTATATATTTTTTTATTCCAACGGGATCAGTATTAACTGCTCTAGTTACTTGATATCTTTGCATTTGCTGTCAGAATGCAGCGTTTTGCGTTCATCATATTTATAATACAACTTTGTAGTAGTGTGCAAGGAAACATAAAACGTGTTTACCTTAATAATAATTTTACTTATGTAGCTTTGATGAAAACCCATACTTCAAATTGACTGCCAAACTGTTTGTAGTCTTTATAGTTCAGTGTAAAATGAATTCCACAACGGAGGCATTGGAGGGTCAATATTTGCCTAGAATAGTTAGGCGGAATTGATTGTCAAAAAGAATGCCAGACGATTCTAATTTTGAAAAAACTGTAGTTGTATTTAGTCATTTTGAAAAATATGTAGATTTATTTTCATTTTAGTACCGGTGTTTTATAAGATTCGATAATTATATAAAAACTGTGTTTAAAACTACATTTTGCCTATACAAATCAACAAACAAGACTATAACTCGATAGACAGACTAAAGTACAACTAGATACTACTATCTACTACTACATCTCAATGTCAAGGCAATATTAGAAGACGAATAGATATCTTTATTATTGGACATGTTAACAAAAGAAATAGTACCAAAATTTCTCTTTACTAAGGAAAACTAAACTGCAGAGCGATTCTGTAAAATCTGAACCCGAATTCGAATTCACTCATGTGTCCAAATTCACGTTATTTAGTGAATAAATTCTATTGATTTCAATTTTTTGTATAAAAATACACAACAAAACCTATGTCATTTCGAAACTCACTTCACTTATGACGAGAAACGTTATTGTCAACTCAAGATTGAGCTGATGCGGCTTTTTGAAGTGGATTCGGACACCTGAGTGAATTCGAATTTTAACAGAATCCCAGGGCTGACAATACATCACAGACTACTTAATGGCCCATAAATCAATACGTTAAACCAACAGAATCTCGGGACTGACAATGCATTACAGACTAATAAACGGCTAGATCGTCGATATTGTAACTTTGCTCAAATGAAGATACGTGCACTAGGCGCTAAGCTTGTTTTTATATCATTTACTAAAAATAGTTAAAACAGTATCAAGAAGTATATCTAAGAAAAGATCGCCGATTTTAAAAAGTATTATATTTTTTGTTATACAGAAAAAAATTGTAGGCAGCGCACAAAATTTCACGCTATCATTACGGTGAATCATATTCATGTTTTATCTCTTTTGGCCTATTAACATCAAAGATAAAAAGATGACTTAAAAACTGTTCTGTAACACGTTGCTACTAATGAGATGTACACGAAAATTATTAATCTACATTTTGAAATATAAAGTTACCTATATCAATCGGAAATAATTTGTGCACTGATAATATTTATTTAATGTAAAGTAAACGTGACTCGTATGTAAAAAAAATGTAAATATGAAACCTTATAGGTACCACGATCCGTATGCGGGGACGATAATAGCATATTCATACTTCGTTATTAGTTTCATGTAACATTGTGAGTTGCGGGATGGAAACTTTAGCCGTATCGTAATATTTATGACTCGAAAATGCGATAATGCTGTACTGTTGAAGGTGGCTTAATTATATTAACGTGAAATGTCAACATAAAAGTATATTATCATATAAAATATCTTTGTATCAAAATATGTTTCTCTAATCACCTTAAAAAATACTTTTTTTTTTTTAAGATGAGAAAAAGAGTTTCTTTTGTCATACCAAAGAGTATGATTTTGATAATGACTATATTGGTCTTTTATTTTGTTATGATTTTTTACGGGCGTTTCGTTTCAGTGTTTTCACTAGGCCGGCGCTGATCGAATTCAAGCACAAATAGCTGTTTATTTTGAAAATTTAAGTTCCAATTAAGAGGGCTAGGTGGCGCTGTGCCAATATAAATACAAAAGTTGACATTAGTACTTGTTACAAATTCGATCTACCTTCGAATCTCTTAGTGTCGATTATGTAGAAAAAATAGAATTCGCTACTATAGAATTCACTTTCTCAGACAAAACGGCGTACTACAATAGCGTCGAACACAGCACTGTCACAACAGAGATTCAATTAAATAAAACCTTAATTACCTTTGGAATTAGGTTTGATTGATTTTCTGTAATTTTTTAGAATAGTAAAGCTGAAATAAGTCCGAAATAAAAGAAGAGGAAAAGGCTCGTGCTTCAATCGGAAAAGTGGCGCTATGCTATAATATCCTTTCTAAAATACGTCAATATATCAGACATTGTTGAGTTATTCTAGAAACGACATTATCACTCAAATGTTTTTTTTTTTTTTTTTTTTTTTTTTTTTTTTTTTTTTTTTTTTTTTTTTTTTTTTTTTTTATAAAGGAGGGCAAATGACTGCGCTCCACCTGATGGTAAGCGGAGGCGTAGTCCAAACGCGAGGACAGCTAGTGAAAACAGTACGTAGGTACTGCACTAGCCAACCTCACCTTGCCGACCTGCAAGGTGCTTCTTATGTTTATGTCTTGAGAAGAAATGATTTGGACGCAACAAAAAGGTTCATAGCATTAATTTGGAAAGAAATGTAAGGAGAAAAAGATCAAAGAATGATGAATAGATTGTGTGAAGATGATATGTGCAAGAAAGGAGTGAATGTCGTGATGACGGTTAATCGAGAAATATGAATAAATAACACGTATTGCACCGCCCCAAAAAAAGAATTGGGAAAAGGGCAAGCAAATGATGGTTTAATATAAACGCGTATATTATAAATGGAATGCTGTTTATGCCGTGTTGGCGTCGAAATGTTTGTGGGGAAAATTGAAAATGTTTTTCATATATAACGTGTGAAAATGTTATTATACGTGCATGTAGAACAGTGGTACTCAAAGCTCTACAGGTATTTACCCGCTGATGCGCCGACGACTTGCAAAGAGTATATGTATTAATTGCGGATTGTTTGAAATTAAAATACGTGTTGATATCCGATCTCATTTAACTCATGACTCTTTTCTTTCTTAAAAATTTTATAGTCCGTCGAAAAAAGTTCATTCATAGATTCTGTAAACGGCCTATGTATTGTTACGAGTTCGGGTTTGAGATAAGAACTACATCGGCCCAATCCGCAGAACTATCGATACGAAAGGGATAGGACATGTTCGAAGAAGTGTGAGAGAAACCAATAATAAACACGAATGTGCTTTCTGTATGGATAAGATAATGTGATTTCAGATTTATGCACTAAAATCGATAATCCATTAATATTAAGATTATTCTTTTTAACTTAATCTTGACACCTGCATTATTAGAAATAATAAAATATTTTTTATTAATAGCAATGCTATTGGATCACCCGGTGCCTTCGTCTACAGTCTACTTTCACATTTTGCTCTGTTAAATTATCCATCTGTTTCGTAACTTATAGAATATGATATTAAATAATGTAATTTTTGTATGCTTTAAGCAGTTCATGAATTCATAATTTTACCAAAATTTTTACAAACCTTTGATATAATTTATATACTTAGCTGACTCGGCAAACCTTATTGCCATATAAATTTCACGTTGGCACACCCTTATCAATTAGAGGTATAAAAAGTAGATAATAACTTATTCTCAGATCTACTGAAAATAAATTGTAAAGATTTGACAGAATTTTTAGAGATTTTGTGCAAATTTTTTGATTGTAGATAACAGGGATCTGTAAAATTGAAAAAATGGAAAGTGGTTTATGAATAAAAAAGTTTGAAGACCTCTGTTGTTGATAAATAAGTCATCTCATAACATATTAAACGTGAAACGTTCGTGAGAATTGTGATGGCATGAAATAATTAATTTAGTCTGTGATGGGAAATGGGTCATCTCAAATTAGACGGTGTCTATAAGCTCAATAGAGAGCAGATTTATTAAACATAATTCAATAATTTGGAATAACGATATTCGAAATTATTAAATTTAGAATAACAGAGTAGGTTTCGATTTCCATTCGGTCAACGTATGTGATGTGCTCTAATATTTATAATTTTTATATTATAACTTCTTAAACAGGAAAATAGCTACAAGAACACTGAAGACTTAAATATATCAAAAGAAAATATCTTATCATAAGTACTTGATTGTATTTTTTTTTTCAAGACGGGGAAAAGGATGTTCTCGATTAGTTCATGTGACATTTCTCTCCTAACCCAGATATTCGTCTAAAGTCTTATATTTATTATAGGCATACCATACATATTTTTTCGTTATTATGAACTCTTTGTATCACAAATGACGAGACACATTTCGTTGATTTCAGACTGACGCATAGATGCGACGGCATTCTTTTTTTGAATATTTGAAGTAATCTGTAATTTTAAGTTAATAGTTAGAATCTCTGATTCAAAGACTTTTAAAAAGATATTATATTTTTAACATGTAATTGTTCTCTTTGCCCGCAGCCGCAGCGAGTCGGCTCTGAACAGCCCGACGGAACCGGATGTGTCGCTCGCGGCTTCCCTCACGGACCCCCTCGAGGCTCACACTTTAGACGAGGCCAGGAGAACCATCAGGTAATTTAAATACTAGCTGTTTACCTGCGGCTTCGTCCGCGTAAACTATAGCTCCCGCGTTTGAAAGCTTCCCAGTAGGTGAGATAATTTTTATTATCGGATCACTATTTTCGAAGATTATTACAAATCTTAGGAACTTTACCTCTTCAAATTATTAGTATAGATAATATTTTTTTTTGCTTAAACGTAGAAATAAGCTTCTCTTCTGTCTCTTTTGTTAACTAACATTGGAGTTAAATAAGAAAACATAATTTATTTTGTTAATTACAAACCTATCCACAAATCCATCTTATTTTAGTCGATATGAGTGAAATTATATTACAATATTGTTTTGGCAAATATGTCCTGTCAAATATACGAAACAATAAGAATAACATAGGTATGCAATCTTTAATTTTTACTTTGAGTTACACTGTTCAAATCCCAAGGTATTAACAATTAAAATAACGAAGATAATTGTAATATACATTTTATGATGGCCCACATCAGAATAACGTCGTTAAAATAACACTATGCCAAAATTTCTCTGTTAAGTCTAATGCTCTAATAAAAAACAATTTTTATTATTTTCAGGGACCTAAGGATGAAATATCGCGCTCAAGCACACCAATTACTGACATGGCGACGCGCGCATCGTACCCAAGAGGAACTGGTGACCCGCCTGCAGCGAGAGAAGGCGGAGCAGCTAAAGTCCCTCTCCAGTCAATTATTGCTTTTCGAATCACGTCTTGTCCGCAAACAGAAGGAGATCACCACCATGCTAGCTCTAAGAGAAAGCATCATAATGAAACAGCAGAAAGTTATAGAGTCGCTGCAAGCAAAACTACTCGACAATGGGATAGAGACTACTCAATCCATCCCAGACTTCCGAGACCTGCTACAGGATACTCACATCACGGGAGACTTCGATTCTCTCAATGATTCCGACTCTGCTGTGATCATGGAAGACGTGGACTCTGATTGCAGCAACCTTCCGCATATACCGAGATTCAGATCTGTCAACCCCGAAAGCGTCACAATAGTTAGGTCAATATCAGATGCCATCGATCCAAATCTTAAATATAGTGTCGTCAGACGTTCCAATGGTTTCTTGCGGAGGCCAGAGATATTGGAGACGGTATACAGCGTTGAAGAGGAAGCCGATGGTGACTCCACGAAAGGTTTAAGTGCTCAGAGCAGTACAGAAAAAGAACTTAAAGACGCCAACAAAACCGACGAAGAGAAATGCAAAGAGACTACTCTACTTGCTCAAAGACGTGACAATTTCCGGATGAGAAGCGTCGTGTTAACTGCTGAAGTGAAAAGCATTGATAACGATAAAGACCAGAAGGCGAAATGTAGTAAGGATTTGTGGTCATACAGTTACGTGCCAAAAAGGATGACGCCTGCCAACGACTCTGAAGAGGAAGTGACGTCAAACGCCGAAAGCGACGAAGGCGAACCTGAACAGAGATCAAATCATGTAGTGACCTATAATAGAGTCATGTCCAACCATAGAAATGTTACAAAGCCAAAAGATGTTAAGTATAAGAGGATAAACAAAGCGAAATCCAAGAGCTTAGAAGAATTGCGGGGAAGGTTAAAGAATTGGGTCGAAAAGGGTAGCAAGCTGTCGAACATACCACTTGAACATGCTCAGAGTTACGCCTGAACTACTTGGAACAGTTCCTTTAATTAATGCTATGTGTACAAGAGAAGTATAAATCTTCGCGGTCTCATGGCACACTGTGAGAAATGCGAAGTTCCTTTGAATTAATGCAAAGTATTCAGAGTCACGCATCACGGAGGAATCACACGACCGTAGTTTAAAATTTTAGCCTAATAAGGTTGTACCTAATAGCTTTACATGAACGAGGCATACTTATTATTGATATTCTATTCTTGATACTTAAATCTATTGTAAATAGTTTTCTTATACGCATTGATTTGATTACGATCATTATAGAATAAGTTTATTAATGATCCAATTGCTAATTTTCCTAGGTTTCTATTGATTTTTATACCTATTTAGTTTGACAATGTCTGAAAAATATTCCGATATACGTAAAATGTTAGGGAATTGTTTGTTAGAATATTTAAATACTGAATCAATGGAAACCTGTGGAAAAATCAGAAGCAAAATTTTCGCTGACTGACTTTGCCTATTTTTTCTAAGACAAAAATTTTTAAGTAAAAAAAAATACGTATATTTTGAATCACTAAAAATATCGGAATTGAAAATGTTGTTATTCTGTAATTTAAAAACTGTTTGTTTTCTCAGATTTTGTAGATATTTAGAAAAAGGCTATTATATTTTACCTGTTTTTAATATTTCCGTTTCAAACTCGATAATGGTAATTTAGATATATTAATTATAATAAAACAATATCAGTGCCAATCTTATTAAAGTAACCTAACATTTTTTAACTTAATAACTATAAGTAGTACCTACTCTTTCTAAATATACAGGATGTTGATTGTAACATATTTTAAAATAATGTTTGTCACAAATGCATACATTTTCATGAGCCATATTAATTTTAATATTAGGTATTCATTATAAATTTCATCTCGGATTTCACATTTCATTAACTTTCTCAAGATTGCGTGTACTTATCACAGTCCTCGAGAAAATGATAACAATTTCAATCTCCCACAATGACTGAGGATTCCGAATAATTAAGAGGGAAGATCTTTTCGTATTTTGGAAGATTTTTGAGATGACATAATAAATGATTTAGTGAGCTACCACAATCTTATAATGATTCTGAATAGATAATCAATTATATTTTGTATAATTTATGGGAGAATAATGATAATTAGTTTTTCTTAATAAATATGGCGTTGATTATTATCGAAATTGGTGATTGAAAGTTAAGTATTGAATCTAACCATATTGTGAATTTCGATCATTGGTATTTTATATGTAAACAGTTTTGTGATTATGTTAAATTGATTAGTTTAATTTGTTCTCTACAACATCCTGTATAAGTAGTAAAACATATCATTTTCAGCTGTATACAGTGAAAGGCTTGACGAACTATATTTTACCATATAAAAATCATATATTATTATGTACGTTCATTCCTAATAGTCAATACACAGTTAATTCGATCAAAAAATTAAGCAAAATTATATTCTGTTTTATTTCATCCCACTCAAATCTATAAATATAAAAAGGAAAGATTTGATTGTTTATTTGTTTGCATCGCGATAGTATACGAAAATACTGGGTTATTTTTCAAAAAAAAAAAATCCGCGAGAAACTACTTCATACGCTGGTACCATGCTTTAATTTAACAGACGAAGTCTCGGGAAAACACCTAGTACTGGAAAACTTAAAATTCCTGCGACGAATAAATATACCTAGAAAAATAAATAAGAATTATAAAATAATTTTCACTGTTATTTTTCTGACACTACTTAATTAGCAAGTATATTTAGCTAAGAAAATATTCCTTCAAAAAAAGAGAAAGGGGGTGATTCTGAAAAGAAACCGCCTCTTGAGTGGACGCCTACTTATAGTGAATGAGCAATATTGGGTTTTATTAGAACTGTATTCTAGGATGAAAAGTAATAATAAAAGCTCATACATTAATACTTCAATTTAAAGAAGTAACAATTAAAACATAATTATTGAAAATTACAACAATCAAATCTAGACAAAATGACAAAACTTGCAAATAATTACAATTATTGTAAAATTTTATAATTCACGTTTCGGCTGAGATAGAATCCTTAAAAATATGATGAAGAATTCACATTATTTATTTACAGATTATTTGGACATTATTTATATCTATATAAGTAGTTGAAAGTTAGTGAATTTTGGTGAATGTATATTGCTCTCTTGCATACAAACATAAATTAATACTTGTAAATATTTTAAACGACGCAAAATTGCAAAACGGTCCTATTAAATTATTCAGGACATTTTAATGAAAACCATTTAGAAAAATAATACAGAACCAATAACGTGCAACTAACAATCGACCATTTACGAATACGAATAACGAACTTTTCATGGCAAAAACTGTTGGATATTTTTGTCGCAGACTAAAATGGTAGTAATCAGGGGCGTGGCGTGTCTTGGCGGGGCCCAGTATAAAATTTGTTTGGTGGCCCTTATGTACGGTAAAGATTTTTAACATAAGAAAACATGTTTGTAAAAACTATGCGAATTTTAATCGTAAATACATCGATTATTATGGAATACCCCGATAAAGTCATATGACTTAAACTTAGATATCCCGCAGCCCGCGAAATCCTTTGTAGGGTGTTGCTAACTTTGTAACGCATGCTTTACGCGGGAAAAAGAAATTGCTTCTTTTGACTTTTGTCATCTCTGAAATAAAAAGAAATATGGGAAGTTTTTATTTGTTTTTGCTTACGCACGTTGGGGGCCCGAGTGGCCCGGGGGCCCCGTATAATTGACACGGCATATACGGCGGTAGCTACGCCTCTGGTAGTAACGCTGTCCGTATCCAATTGATTGAAATAACTATGAGCTATTTGATTGAGCGGCTTCATTTAACTTTACTTTATTTATTTAATACAGTACTGTTTCACAAAAGATATTAATTCATCGTAATTAATATATGGAATTAATATAGGTGATATGTACAAGAAAAACGGTGTACTTTTTATTCACATTGTAAGGAAATAAAAATTCCATGGTGTTTTTGATCCTCTCTAAGGAAAAATATAAAAACGGTTATCTGTGAATACAATTATATCAAAGAGACACGGAAATGCCTCCGCCGAGAAACGTTCCTCCTATAAACACTTAGAACCACAAGGGCGTTTCACGAATTTGAGAAACTTCATTTGAATTCTGGCGAAGTTTTGCTGGTCATACTTATCTCGAATCAAAAATCTCGACTCAAAAAATATTTTTATTGAAATTGTTTTCATCTAATAACATATAACTCAAAGGTGACCGACTGACTGACATAGTAATCTATCAACGCACAGCTCAAACCACCGGATGGATCGGGCTGAAATTTGGCATGCAGGTAGATGTTATAACGTAGGCATCCGCTAAGAAAGGATTTCGATCAATTCTTTCCCCAAGGGGATAAAATAGGGGATGAAATTTTTTATAAAACTGTCAATTTTAAACCGATTGGGCTGTGACTGCATGCATAAACCTACTATGACATAGGCATCCACTAAGAAAGGATTTTGATAAATTCTGATGAAAATTCTGAAGATGAAACTTTATTTCAGGTATTTTACACGATATAATGAATAAAAAATCGTTATAAATGCTGCCCAAAGTAACTTGACCACGCGGACAAAGTCGCGGGCAAAAACTAGTTTTATTGTATTTGATCTATTTAGCATTCACAAAGTTATACTGAAAAATATTCTTGATGTAAAATGCTTAAAAAGTCCCATCTCAGAGTGCCCGGGACAAAGTGATTTGGATGGTTGGAAGTCCTCAACTGTGCGTTTTTCTAGAAGTTTCCTGCCTCACACAGTCAAACTCTGGAACAATTTGTCGTCAGCGGTATTTACGGACCGATACGACCTTCAAACTTTCAAGCGTAGAACATATTCGTCCCTCAAAGGCCGGCGGCGCGCTTGTAGCCCCTCTGGTGTTGCAGGTGTCCATGGCCGAGGGTAATCACTTACCATCAAGTGATCCGTCTGTTCGTCTGCTGGATAGGGATCCCATAAAAAAAGTTTTTTTTTTCAGTATAATATTGTGAATGCAAAATTAATCAAATATAATAATAGAATAAATTTTCATATTTATCAAAAGTTTAAATGTTTGTAAAAATATTTCTTTCGACTGTTTGGGTGGATTGCCTGAATATTGAGGAAAATACGCTCTTAACGCGCTTAAAAAGCGCGTAGCAAGCGCTTGACAAATAAGTCAATCCTGTCCTGTTAGGTCTTAGGTAGCTCAGTGGTAAGAGCAGTCGGCCGTATTGCGAAAGGTCATGGGTTCGAGTCCCATCCCAGAGTGCCACGGACAAAGTGGATTTTTTAATCATTTTACATTAAGAATATTCTTGCAAAGAAACATTGGACAATTTTCATGAAGATCTTTATATGCGAAATTTACGATTTACTTGTTATAGTTACTGTTACAAAAACAAAACGCCCAAAACGATTGAGTGTCATAACAAAAGGACACTTAATTGTTCACGATTAATTTTAAAATAAGAAAATGTAAAGATTATTTTTCGTGTTTGCGTTGAAAGGCTTAAATTAATCCTTAAAATGTCTCGCTAAAAACACGTCGCTCAGTTTTAATAATATAATTACAGGTTTCCGCGACAAAAATAGTCTTCCCTGAATCTTATTATTTGCATAAATCGATTATCTAAACAAATTTAAATTCTGGTTTGGTCGAGGAAGGAACAGGGTATTTGTGTACCTCGTCTATATGGCGACATTCTTTACGATGAAATCTTAAATTCAATTCGATTTGTCAGTCTACAGGTAGCGTTAGCAAAAATGTAAAAATAAGAAATGTGTTTTTATTTTTAAACAATTTCAAAAAATGAGAACAAGGAATATTACATTACCAATAGTTTTAGAGTGAACTTCGTTAATATCTTTCAAAATTCAAATTGAAAGTGATTGCGTTAGATTTTAAAGTTAGATAATTAAACCCTTCTCTATTTCTCCTTTGTTTTTAAAATGGCGTATACATCGCACGTGTATAAGTGTTATACAAATTAAACAAGTAAGCTTTCATATTAAAAAAATAATTTACTAGGTAGGTATTGTGTTTTTTTGCTGACAGTTTTTTCTCATTATAATGTAGGCCGGCGCAACCTTGGACGACAGTTGCTGAAAGAATACATTATGACAGGAAACTTTCAATCGATATTTACAAAGACCCCTACATTGCATCTACTGAAGCGGTCGTCCCGGTACTCAGGCACGTATTCTTAAGAACACACAAGTAATACATTGATCTGAAAGGAGACGATTCACGCCCTATACATAGTTTTCCCACAAGTAAAAGTCTATGCGTCATAATCAAAGAATATCTCTATAAATATGTTATTCAATAATAATCATTATGTATTTCTTGTTGTTCTAAATGAAAAACGCTTTAAAAATCGACCAGACCAAATTTTTTTTTGACCCTGAGAAATGCGTTACGCATACCCGCTTCACCCAGCGCGGGCTCGAATGGTTATGTGGGACTCCTCCTGCGGCCCCACCCCCGAAGGGGGCTAGACAAAAAGCGAGAGTTTACCCACCAAAACTCAGCGATGTCCCTCGCATGGAAGGCGATGCACGGGACCGGCCCGAAGGCCATACACCGCGCGGTTCGCCCCCATTTCAGCCCGCCCTGAGAAGGGCAGGTCCCTCTGCGGGTTGGGGGTACGTCCCAGAGACATTCGAGAACAACCCCCCGACGTGGAAACTATTCTGCTAAGGAGAGGGAGAATTAGCTTTAAAAATAATGAATCTTGACTGATATTTTTTAAATTTAAAATCTACATAGAATTTGATACCGTAGCAAACTCTGATTATGCCGTATTTAAAAAAAATCAGCACCCGCGGTCGTTTCAAATTACACCTTAAAATGTAAATACACATTAGACTGTACTATAATAATTGGCACAAGGAAGACGGCAAAATTTATCCACCTACAAAGACGACGTCCGGTGAAACGGCTGCATGCACACAATTATTCATTTAGTAGCATTAATTTGCTAAAAAAATATTTAAAATGTCGTAAATACTGAATGCTTTAGTCTAGGTAATAATTTCATACAATTTGGCTGGATTTTTAATCTCACGCTGGCCCAAGGCCTATTGGAGGGCATTAAAGACTACAAATATAGCCCGGACCAACGGCTTAACGTGTCTTTCGAAGCACGGCGTAGCTCAAGATAACAATTGATGGTCACCCATCCCGTGACCTACCTTTACGAAAATTGCTTAACAACAACGATTGCGGATCGCGGCGCTTATCCACTATGCCATCGAGCGACTCAATACTACATTGTTTATACACTTTTAAATTTGAATTGCAGTCAAGTGACTGCAACTGTTAAGCAATTCAAGCGCTATCTATAAGTGAATGGGTGAAGCAATACATAATACGATAGCTAAAAACAATCACATTTAAAAAACTATGAACGTGTGTCTGTACAGTTTTATATTTATCAGTAACACCGGCTGGCATTACTTTCGAAATTCTTTCACAATTTCCAATTTAAAAGTATAAGATAATGTTTATGACCTATTAAATATTGATAAGACTATTTTTACTATGTATAAATATACGTGAGAGACAATTAGAAATTTATTAATATAATAATCTTCGCAATTTCGTATTGTATTTTAAAATTTTATAAAGAAAAAAAATGCGTTCTTCTGTCTCAGTACTGTTTTTATTCGTTGTCTGCATGTATACTGTAAGTATAAACAATAACCTATTTTTATTGATGTAGATTTTGAATTTTAAACTGATGGATATCGCGGTGACAGCTAATATAATAGTTGCAACCTTTAGCCATTCGTGTGAAAACTTCGGGTAGATTTGACGGAAATATTTTTCTGAAAATCATACATCAAAATATTAGAAACATAGTAATTTTTAAGTGCATTTAGTGATTCTGGGGTACCTTAGTTTGGTACCAAATGCAAGTTTTATATTCTATTTATAACGATAATGTACGACGAAGCCAAAAGTATACTAATAGCAAGTGATCATAAAGGTTAAAAAGAAACTAATTTTAAACTAATCTAAAGTTAAAAGACGAATATCAACCAAAAAGAATGGTTGCTTTTTTTAAATTTCGATCTTTTATTAATGTTCAAAACCTACTTTTAGAGCATCAACGCCGCATGCCTCTACAAGCAATTAGGCGGTTGCCCGGCCTACGACATCTCCACAGGCGTGGTGACTTGCCCAGTATCTTGCGCAAACACTTGCTCATGTACTGGCACCAGCACTTTGTGCAGTTGCGGCGCTCCAGACTGCAGCTGTATCCTTGACACGTCTAACGTCTGCCAGTCCTGCAAGCCTGAACCTTCGCCACTCTGCTCCTGCCTGGCCAATCTTGACGTGCCTTGCAATTGTGACACACAGAAATCATTTGTGTACTTCCCAGAAGTCAGCTACCCGCTCACGACGCTGGAGATGAATCCGTTCTATTATAGCACTTGTTTTAGTTACTAGATTGTGTATTAACAATAAAATATTTCTTTCTCAAGACGAGCGTCTAGACTTGAATTATATAAAACCACAGATGGCCGAATATCTTATTCCGTGATTAGACGAGGCGTAAAGTCAAAAGGCTCTTCGTCAACCTTAATGACAATGTGATTAATAAGGTCCGAGGATGGCAAATTATAATTTCTTCAGCTATAACGTAACTTTACATGTTTGTCAAACAATAACAAATGTTGAAATAACGAATTTTAGAGGTAACTTTGTGATTTTTTCTATAAATTTTATAAAACCACATTTTATTTATAATGATCCTTTACGAATCTAGTTTTCTCATTCCCGCTTACAGCTTTTTGTATGTATTTTTATACATATTCTTATTGAGTGATATTTGGGATGATAACTGGGTAAAAAAAACTTTTTAGTCCGTTTTATGGAGTCAGATACGTATAGATGGTACATATATTTTTTTTTTCTTCAGTTTAACAAGAAATGGCTTAGATAATAGGCATTAAAGTTGAGGAGCGAGCGCTCGCTGCATATTGATTTCTTTTATTTTCACGCACACTATCCATAAATGAAACAACTTTTAAACGGTTTCACTGCGTTTGTATTTTCTTTGATTGACGTTTGGGACCCTTCGTGTTGAAATAAAACTAAGGTTGATTGTCTTTTTAATTAAGAGTATGGCTACCTTCAAAACAATACTATTGGACACATTCACAATATATTTTTTTATAAAAACGTTTACATTTTTTTTTTTTAAACACTTTTGACTTATTTATTTACCCCTGGCATAACAATAGAAGTCGCCGACTCGAGCCCCGAGCGAGCGATGATAGCTTAAACACATAGGCACTGACGATTGAAGTGCTTTTAGGTACTTCAATCGTCAGAAATGCAAAGACTATATTATCAAGTAAACAGCAGGAATCTATAATACAACGGTTAATTATAGTTTTTTGAAGTGAACATTTGTAAAATTTTACATTACCAACGAAAAAGTACGATTGAAAAAGATTAGTTAAAACGTGGCATTCACGAATCGTGTATTAATTCAAATAAAATAAAATAATTACACACTATTTCTACACTCAAATTTCAAATCTGTAAATTTGATAAAATAATATATTTATAAGAGTCTTTAATAATAGACAGAAAAAAGCACTTTAAATTATTAATGTCTGTAGCAAATATGTGATTTTATAATAAAATACGGAAAAAATCGCATGTATCGACAAGTATGAAATGTTATTGAGACATCTATAAATACTGCAATATTTTCTATTCGAATTCAAAACCATCTTTAACCATGTAGTTAAGAGGTACAAACACGTACAAATTATTACGAACAGCAACGCAGCGGCGCGGAGTGTGCGTGTGCGGGCACGACTGGCGAGTTTCCACTCGTACCTTGAGTTACCTTTTACGTTGGCAAAAACTCTTTATTATTATACTCTGCCCCTGGCTACCATTAACATCCACCAATTCCAAATTTGGGAGTCTTGTCTCTGAAGAACTGGTGAAACAAACTCCGACAAGAAAAGTGAATTGCTCCTTTTGATTTAATATTTACAGAATGAACTAACTGTATCTTATGGTTTTGCAATGTATGATCTGGACTGTTTTGAAATGTTGACTGTTTTGTTGTTACAAGCGCGCTTCAAAATCCTTCAATCTTGTCTGTGACACCTTTCATGCATGTAAGTACAGTAGGTTAACGCTTGACTGTGGTAGGCTTGACCCGTTATTTGTGACTTAGGAGTGTTACATGCAGTTTGTTATACCGCAGTACTTGCTTGTCGTGCTGAAGCTCAGCTGTCAGGTGTTGATTGTCACAGATGCCTTGTGCTCTTTGAAACAAAAAGTTGCCTACGGTAGCTAACTGTATAAGATGATGGTGTGAGTCACCATTGAGGTATCTATCAGTATGTGTCGCTTTAGGATACACAGTATGGCTCAAAATTTGATCAGGATTCTTAGAGAGCAATATATTTCAGAAGGCTAGTTTATTGTCTGCCTCTAGGGGAAATCCGGCAGCGCGAATAGGTCAGGCAAAGTGAATACCTCACATTATTTCAAAATGGCGTATTCGTGCAAGTCCGTAGCTTGCCATGAGGTCCGCCCCCCTCTCCTCAGTCGTAAACAAGCAGAGCAAACGCAAGGTCGCGCGTCGTTTGTGAAAAAAAGGTGAAAAATAATAATATCACAATTTGTTACGATATTTTATGGTACTTCTTTTAATTATTACTATTGTGCCTATAGTGTTACTCTTTTGGAATCATTATTGACGTAAAGTGCATGTTTTCTTGTTGAATTACTGCGATATTCATTAAGTTATTGTGTCTGGATTTGATTGTAGGTTAGTTTTCGTTCAAAAAGTACCTGTCGCACAAAGCGAACACGGGCAAAGTGGATATGGTATCCACTTTGCCCAGTAATGATGTGACTCGATTATTTACTCCAGCATATTTAAAAAGTGCTACTGCCAATCATGCCATTAAAGGGTTTCAATCTCCAGGAATTTGGCCAATTAATATGGATATATGGGAAGATAAGGATTACATATGTACCATCCTCTACAACAATGATGAAACCTAATACCGCAAATACAAAAGCAGCATTTCATGAAACAACTAATCGAGATGTGTTAACTGCAATGGTAGACCATGGCCCGGTGCCTACGACGTCAGGTTTTCAATGTTCATCTGGACCAAATAAAGCTTCGGAAATTTACGATCATGATTTTAGTGACGAAGAGGTCGAACCTGCTGGACCTATTTGTGTAACAGTTCAAGTTCATACCTCAACAATGAGAGAAACGAATGATTAGGCGTTGGAGTCTGTCTTTTGTCCCGGAATTAGCGAGCCTGGAGGAGTATCGCCAACAATAATTCCAGAAGTAAATCAAGAAGATCCATTTAAAATCTCTAAAAGCCCTGCTAGATATTTTACTTCTGACATTCAGCACACCTCTGGATCAAAAGATAACTTATTGATCTCCGAAGAAATCTATGATCAAACTAGGTCAAGATCATGCACACCTAATGTTACTGATGACCACGTCATTCCAGCAGCTAATAAAGCAGAGATCAGTGCTACAGATTTAATGAGTACTTCGACTTTACTTTCAAATAAAAAACCTGCAATATATCAGACTTCACCTGCCGCTTATTTGAGTCCAAGAGAAATAAGACCACTTCCAAGTCCTTACGTTCCCATGGGAACAAGAAAAAGATATATTCAAAGGTCTGAGGTGCTTACTAGCATACCGGTTAAGGGAGAACAGAAAGTTAAATTTGTTAAAGCAAATACCAAAGCATTAAAAAATATTAACAAAATTTTAAAAACAAAGACTAGACCGAAGAAAAAGACCAACATAACCAAAAATATTGAAGCGAGAAACACTAAACTTAAGAAATTTTAAACTAAAGAAAATGACGAAAACTGCACGTGCTATTTTTGTGGGAAAAATTATGTTGAAGTTAATGGGCAGCCAGTTGATGATTGGATCCAATGCAGTTCCTGCAAGAAATGGAGCCACGAGAAATGCACGGCATATGAGGGAAAGGGCATTTTTCTTTGTGATAATTGTACTGATAAGTGATTAGTTACTTTTTTGTTTTTTTTTTGTTATCTTTACTATATATTTTATTCGTAATTGTTCCTAGTCTGATTGTGTTCACTTTGCCCTTTGGTACTATCCACTTTACCCGATGGGTTGGGCAAAACGGATAGAAGCGAAGGATGCAATTTAATCAATTTTTTTAAGAAAAGTTATTAAGTTACCTTTTTGTTTGTTGATTTCTTTTAAACTTTAATAAAGACTGATTCATATTCCTTCACTATTTTATTACTATGTCTAGTAGATCACATTCCATAGTCTTTCAAAGCTTAAGATGTCCGCTTTGCCCGGACTTCCCCTAATTCCATAGTAAATAAGATCTTTAAGGTTTATAGAATTAAGATGGTTTAAGAAAGCAGGAACTTTATCCGTTGGTAAAATAGTAAAGGGGTCATCTACGTACTGTTTATACAGTATAGGATGGTCAAAATATCGGCAACAATTGTGGTTATAGGAGAACCCATTGCCACACCAACGAATTGTAAATAGAATTCACCTTTTCACAGAAGATAGCCCGATGGAAGGCAATGTTATTAGTTTATTAGATTTCATTTTAATAAAAATAATAATTTTATTACGTACTTTATTCATATTTGTCAGTTTTACTTTAGTTTTTATTTATTTACATTGATGCTTTAAGTGTGCATAGGTACTATGTAAATGAATAGATACTCCATTTTTTTATTATAATATTCTATAAAGTTTATTATGATGTGTTGTTGATTATAAAAGAGATTCACATTGATGTATTAATATGAGCCAATAAATCACGTAGACGACTGGTTCTTTTGTTTAACGAGTATATACGGTTCATTTTATTAATATTTAGGTTTTTGTTGCTTGGCGTAAATTTTGGAAAATCGGTATTAAGAGCTTTAAATGCAGTATGTTTAATAAAGCCTTCGAATTAAAAATACTAATACAGGTACCACCTAATCTAGCCTCATCTAGTTACTTAGTGTCTTTGGTGATTCAACCCTCAAAAGGGTTGAATAAAAGTTGGCGTGGGATAAGATATTTATAGATAGGTGAAACCGCAGGGTAAAGCTAGTACCTTAATAAACCAACCACAGGGTAATAAAACTCACCTCTATCAAACCCAACAAAGCAATAAAGTGTGAGTCTGTAATGACCCTGCACTTTGATATAATGCCCACCTGTTGAATTCTTTGTGCTTTGCGATTCGAGAAACGCGGAATAATTGAAAAAAAAAAGTATTGCCGGAAAATTGCGAACGGTTGTGGGTTCGAGTCCCATTTTTTTTCAAAATATAATTGTGATCGTATTAGCTTTCGAATCAGTATGTATTGTATTTTATTTGATTACTATGCAACCCGTAAAGTCGTTTTAAATAATTTTCAAATTCTATCTCGGCGAAATAACC